TTGGCGGTACGTTTTGACTTTGAGTGAAGATTACAGTAGCAAGAGTATAGACTCGTCGCCCAAAAGAATCGTCTTTTTCAAGGACGGCTCCAACCCCAACAAATCACGCCACCCCTCGTCATTCACATCCAACAACAACAACATTCTCAACGACAACGGCTTATTATCACTCGACAAAAATTTGTCAAGGAAAAGGTCAAGACCGAATTCTGGTAAGGAAGGCCGCGGTAATTTGACTGGCACACCTTCCAAGAGATCTTTACAACAATCATTGAGAATGACTCCACCAAATGTCGACGACGATGAACTCTTGCCTCTTCTCCTCAATAATGAAAGTTTCTATGGTTTGAATTTTCTTTCACAAATTCACTTACTTGATAACTTTTGATGATGAATCGATGATGAATTGATAACGAATTGATGGCGAATTGATGATTATGGCGGTGACGATGTTGATGATGACAAGTAGATAACATCATTAGTGTTATTTTCATGAGAATACATTCAACGAATGGTAATGCTTTGGTACAAGTCCAATGTGGTTCATAAAGAAATTGCCGAAAAAATATCAACAATAATTATAACGGCAATAACGTTGTTATTAACTTTGATGGAAAAAAAAAGAAAAAATAACCTGACCTGACCTCACGCGCCCACAGACGACAAGGAGAACGACAGGCCAGCGAATCCTACGCCACTACAACAGCTGCAGATACAAACCTCGGCACTATCTGTTTATCCCAGCTCATCAATGTTTTTCAGCCCTATTTCCGATTACAGTCCAACAAATGAAGCGTTGGATAGGGACATTGAGAGAGCCATCAAAATCAGTCATTTAGAAGTCGGGTTTTTTGATATTTCAATTTTTTCAATTTTCTTGAATTTTTCAAAAAACTTTGTCCGTCAATTTTTGTTATTTTCGCAGGAATAAATCACCACATTCGGGTTTATAACCTTGAAAATGAAGTGATTTTAATGAAATTCTTTACTGTAATAAAGCAATTCATTGTTTGATAGGCACAAAGGGCAGAGGATGATGATGAAGATGTGAGGAGAGCCAAGGCGTTGAGTCTATCTTATATGATCAGTAAGTATGGCCACGCCACATCACTTTATTACTTTCCATGGCCACTTCTACTTGTCAGGAACTGTACTAAGATAATTATTATTATCGTTATTGTTGTTGTATTTATTATTATTATTATTGTTATTGATGTTATTCAAAAGTAGAGTTATATCTCCTCTCTAAGACTGACGAGTAGATTTCTAATCATTTGACTACGGAGAATTTGACGTAGCTGTTGAGTTTGAATATACATAGGTGAGAGTACAAAAGAGCAGCCCAGTGTTGACCAACCAACAAGCCACTTGCAGGCTAGCGAGGAAATGGAATGTGGCGACTTAGAGAACATCAGTCTGAGTGAGGTAGTGAATTAAATAATTATATGACGCAATAATCTCTCTCGGTCTAATCTAATGATGGAGTTTTTTGATTTTGTTAAAATGAAACTAAACACATTTTTACTTTTCTGTCTCTTAACAGGCTGACAAAGTGTACGAACTGGTTGCAGTGGTCAGCCACATAGGACCAACCTTAACATCAGGTTCACCACCATTTTTTATTCTCATCGCTTATTCTAGTGTCTCATTTAATAATGGTAACTGTGGTTAAACATTGTAAAGATCAGATAAGATATTTATTCATGAGTTTAAAACGAATGTTAATAAGATCAAATGAATATTTATAAGGTCATTACGTCAGCGACGTGTATGATACTAAAAGTAGTTGTTGGTACACATGTGATGACAAAAACGTCTGGGATACCAACTTACAAAACGTCTTGACGAGTAGGAGGAATTCTGCATATATCCTCTTCTACGAAAACAAGTTGGTGCTGGCCTGGTTGACTGCCTGACTGAACATTTTCAGAATTATTTTGTTATTTTGTATCTCGTCAGTTTTTTTTACAATACATGTGTTTCTTTATCTCTGTCAGTGAGTTTTAATATGTCTCTTCATCGTTTATTATCTCCAAGGAAAATTTTAGACCAAATAAAGAGATCGTTGACATGAATGACGAATCTTATCTCACACAGACGATAACTTCTTAGTATTTTTCCATATTTATCATCGTCATCAGCTTCGTCATCATCATCATCTTCGTCATCATCATCATCTTCGTCATCATCATCATCTTCTTTATCATCATCATCTTCGTCATCATCATCATCTTTGTCATCATCATCATCTTCGTCATCATCATCAACTTGATGCCATCATCATCACCTTTTTGTCGTCATCATCGTTGATCGCATTCTCATAAACTTGTAATATCGCTCTAAAACGACATGTCTAACGCTAACGAGACGAGGAGAGGCAAAAAGACTGCAAAGCATCATGGTGCCTGCCCTAACTACCTCAAGACCATCAGAACCCAGGTTCAAATCCCAAGCGTTCTTCTATTATGCTATATCGGGGAGAACACATAAGGGTCTTGCTACTTGTTTTTATTTTTTACTGCAGTCGTAGGTACTCGTAATTAGTCATCACATTTTTAGGACGTGTTGTTGAAATAATAAACACTTTTATTGTTCATTATTGATTTTTTCATTTTATCATGAAATATTATTGAGTAATCTTTTTTTTCGTTTATTATTATTATTATTATTATTATGGTGTTAGCACTACTGCCGTACAATTCAGTCTTAGGTTTTTAGTATTTGCTTTTGAGACAAAAACAAAAATCACCATCATTTCGTTTCATATTATTTTATTGCCAGGCCATAAGGTTTTTGCCATAAGGTTTATTATTATTTAATTATTATTACTTAATTGCTATTAATATTTAATTATTATTGCCGGAACATCGGGTTTTGTCATATTTTTAAATTATTATTTGAATTAACATTTTTTTTCCCTTAAACCGTTTTTTTTATTATGCTTCGTCCACAATTCATTACTTTTGAAGTGAAGGCTCCATCTAGTTGTAAGCGACACCGAATATCACCGTTTAATCATCATTATTTATTCATTTATCGTAATATTTATTGTGAAATTTGCGCGTCGTGTGTAATCAACCGGTATTATGTATATTTCAATTCTTATATCATCCGCATCATCATGAATGATATTCCAAACTATTATTTTCATTAAACAAGTCAAATAATATAACTTACTATGACGGCAATCAGACTTATTTCGTAATTCACCAAATTAAGCTTAATCGATTTCTGCTCAAACAGAACTTTTACAAAAATATTTCTTGAAGAAACTTTAAGTCACAACGCTTTTTCAGAAAATGAAGCCAAACATTCCGTCGCATATAGATTAAACATGGCATTTTTCGTTCTTGTCTGCGTTTTTATGAATATTCAATAAACACGAAATATTTTGCTCACAGCGATGTGTCGTTTTTGTTTTTTCATCACAAACAAATCTTAAAATCAGAAAATGGCTCAACAGTACAGTCTAGAATGGAATGTGGCCATGATGTGTTCCACTATGTAACCTGCCATTCTTGCCTTTTCAATCAGTGCCAACCAATCAAATAGCAAAACGGGCAAACAAAACATACGCGTGTTTCTGTGAAACAACATTGAATGAGTAGGATGACAAAAGGAATTTGATGGTAAGGCACTGCGAGGAGGTATTTGTCGAGGGATGTGAATGACGTAATATTTTAGCGATTTTTCTGAAAGTGTTACGTGAATAAAAGAATGAATGGCACGACGATTAAAACTAGCTCGCCAAACTAATCCCTAACTTGCAAACCAATGAAATCATTCACAACGCCAAGTAAGCAACTGCACATGCATAGCGGAAATATGCAGGACGATTAAAAATTTTGAAATACCTGTGGCGAGTAACGGTAACGTTCGATTACACTCTAACAAATAAACAGATAACGAAGGCACGAGAACAGGTTATAACTAAAAAATACATTGTTAACATCATGTTAGACAAACGTCAGTGTCTCTAAATGATACGAATTAAGAAATAGTCATGTAAGCTAATAAGAGTTAAAAATCAAATATTACCTTGATTCTTGAATTCAACAACACCATCCGACCGTTCACATAACATACACGTGCCAGAAAGTACATCCATTCAATCAACGCGCGTCATTAAACTTCGATTGGTATTAAAACAGATAAACGACGAAATAAGTTTGTAAATGGTTCTTTTTAAAAAATGTGTTTGTTAACATGGGGTTAAGTTTTTTTAAAAGCCGAGACAATTCGATGCATAAATATCATTAACTCTGCACCACACCAATCTAGCCATCGGCCAGTGTATTAGTTAAGAATTACAAAATGCACTCGTTGTTCAATCTAAATCCCACACGCCAGGGCAGGTGCGATCGATGTATCCATTGCTGGTTATGTCGTTCAAAATAAGGTCCATATCACCATTGAACATCTTTACCAACCTATTGTTCACCCTTCTGTTAGCAAAACCCATCTCAACGAGCAGGTTCATGGCGTTCAAATCCCGGGAGGAGGACGTCGGTGCAGATGAATATGCAGCTAGTTTTGGGACCCAATTTTCTTCTGGGGGCACCCAGTCGGCCTTCTTTGGAGTCCAATCTGTTGGCTTTGGAGTCCAACCTGTTGGCTTTGGAGTCCAATCTGTTGGCTTTGGAGTCCAAGCACGATCTGTCGCAGATGACGAGCCAAAGCTAGTGGTGTTGTTGTTAACATTAACATTACTAAAATTAACACCACCAACATTGTACGCTGAGCTATCACCTCTGCCTAAATTATTGCCACAATAAGCTTTACCATTTACACTCCTGTCATTGTTGTGACAACCATTATTATTATTACTATTATTATTATTATTGTTGTAATTTGTGTTGCTGTAATTAAAGTTGTTGCTGTCATTTGAATGGCCAAAACATGACGGACTCCTTGAAGGTCCTGGAGAGGATGGTTGCTGGATGGAAAGTGAAAGATAACGACGTTGATGAAGAAAGACAGTGGTGATGTTGTCCACAGTTATGTCATGTTATTTATGGTTATGTGATGCTATCTATGTTGTTCACGTTACAATTTCATACAACGGTCCTCATTTAATTTCAATAAATGATCCAGAGCATAAACAATAACCACAACCGCCACCACAACAAACACCATCCCAATCAATCATTACCTTTCTACCCTATGACCCCCATCATCACCACCACCACCGTGATTAAAAATAAGAGAGGGCAAACAACAAACTCACAATTTGCAGTGACCGATAGGCTTGCTTCATAGCATCAAATGCTTTGTTGGCTGCTTTGCTGGCCATCTTGCCAGCCGTATTGACCACATCAGCAACCAGCTGCAGTGGTGATGCTTCTTCTTCCCCATCCCTGCATAATGTTTAATGTAAATACGATATTATAAAATTACAGAGACGCATGAACTGAACATGCGTGCATGTGTGTCTGTTCTATAAAATGGCTGGTTTGTGTAGCAAGTACATTATGTGAGGTGAGAACATCTCAACTGTCAAAATCTGATGCATAGATTTGAAATGAAAATGTAAGATATTATTAATATAGTGTGAAAATTAGTCATAAAAAAGCATTAACTAAATAAACAAGCAATGTAATTGTTACCCATTCAAAGAAAATGGATCAACATTATTAATGGATGCCTGAGGAATGGATTGTTTGGTTTGGTTCTCGTGATATTCAATTTCATCTATCTGCCTGAGGAAGGCGATCTCACTGTCACATGTTACATCTTCTCCATCTGGTTGCAGCTGCTGTAGCCCAATGGAATGTTCTTGATATAATTGTTCCAATTCATCCAGCGGTGGCGGTTCTATATAGTTAAAAAGTTGATGCTGTATTTCAGCTTCAATGAAACACTTTTGCTGCTGTTGTGGCTCAGGAATTTCACGTATCTTAGGTTCATTTTGCTGATTCAGGTGGTAATGTTCATATTCATGTTGGAGGCATTCTTCAAAATGCTCTGAAATGTCATCATCACTGTCGCGGCTGTGTTCAGTAGTTTTGTTCTGTTGATTTTGTTGGGCTAAATGCTGTTGCTGTTGAGCTTGTTGTACCTCACTTTGTTGGTGTTGATGTAAATCAACCTCAGGTTGTTGCACTTCAATTTGTTCTTTTTGTGTACCAATTTGTCGCTCTGAATCAATCTGCTGTTGCTGGGAATCAATCTGTTGCTGCTGGACATCAATTTCTTCTTGTTGGGAGCCAACAAACTCTATTATATTCTCCACAACATAGCCTCCATTGTTGGCTGAAAAGGGTTTTTCAACAAAAAATTAAGTAATGACAATATGAATGAAACAAATATGATCAAAATTATATAAATAATTAAAAAAAACACGCTAAAAATAAAGAAATCAATTTCGTTCTAACTCGTAGAAACATCATCTCTGGAGATATAAAGAACCCTGGAACAGTCCCTGGAAGCGGGCAGATTCACATCGAAACAATCTGGCATGGGGACAATTACAAAGTCGTCCAAACAATCGTAGTTGTCTTTGTCACTTGCAACACTCTCAAGATCGCTTTCCAGCGTCTCAGACCTGGGATGAAAATTTGTAAATTTTTTAATTCACTTAACCAAAATTGAAAGCATAAACGTGATAAAAGATATCAAATAGTCTGGCAGGGATGTACCATGAATAAAATGAAGAAAATCAAGGATAAGCATAATAATTGCAAGCCGACATCAAAACAGGTCACTCAGATTGAATTAATTAAACCGACTGTGATACTGATGTGATGACGACCAGAAAGATCATTTAAAAATTTAAAAAAAAGAACTTGAATCATGAAAACCTAAATCAAATATAGAAAAGTATGATGCAAATAATGAAAAAGTAGACAACTGAAAACCATAAAATATAAAGTAACCAACTTTTCAATCATCATTCCACGAGAACCATCATCAACTTCCAACGAAGCATTTGTATTCTTCTTTTTCTCACAAGAAACTCCAGCATTCAAAGTCTTATCACCTGGAGTAGCTTCATTACCAGCAGCAGTTTCACAATCATGAGCCGAAACAGAATCCTGATAGCCACTACTAACCCAATCAAGCAATGAAAAAATATGTGGCGAAACAGGTGAAGTTTTTTTGACGATGCCCTTCATGAAGAGGATAAGATGATTGTTCATGAAATGCGGGGTCTTCGGGAGACAGTCGTAGCAAAAATGTTCCAAGCAGGTACTGTTGTAGAAATAAAATAAACCACATAATCCAGTCAGTTTGTTTAACATTGCAAACACGTATCTATGAACAACTTCACTTTTTTTTCTAATTGATCATAATTGCTTTTTTGATCAAGATTTATCATTTAGATACTATCGTACAATTCACCTCATCACATCATTTTATTATCAAGGAATCAGTTAATGATAAACAATAAATGATAAATAATAACGATGACACACACATCTACCTACCAGCAAACATATCTGAAATATGTAATCTTCCGTTCACACACACTGCACTTATGGCAATCATCATCGGCCCAGTCAGCTTCGAGGTAATCCAGTCTGGAAGATGTAGATCCAGAACTAATGATTGATGTAACAATGTTACTGTACTTAAATAAGTGGTTAATAAACTATTTTAATGATTAATGAGATAAAGTGCCTTGACTTTATTATTAAATCTTTCTTTATTAACTCTTCAGAGCATCAACACCACACACACACACAAACACACACAGAGTGCACTTCTGAAATAACTTCATGAGCGACTCTGTAGAAAAAACTCAGCAACGATACAACGGCACCGAAACAGCACATCTCAACAATCCCTTTGCATATAATTCCTTACCACTTGACATTCTCATCCAATTATATATCATTCCAATCAATAATGACATTACACACAATATTAATGATAATGACATGATAATGATATGATATAATAATGATATCATGCATTATGAGTATGTGATTTAATTACAAGACGATGTCATACCAATCGAGGCTAGAATTATCCATATCCTCTTCTTCACTATTTTGGTTATTCATAGATCTTGGACAGGTACATGCATTAGTTTCAGTTGGATTATCGTTGGATTGTGTTTCTGGATCCACGAGCAGATATAGACGTAGTTCTTTGCCGCAGCCCTAACAAGAAAAAAAACTTATTCATTGAGACTGAAAGAAATTTATTTTAAGCAGAAAATTAAAAGAATGAACAGGGAGAGAAGCAGAAATGGAGAGAAAGCAAGATAGAGAGAAAAAGTAAGAGATAGAGTGGATATGATAGAAAAGACTCAATTGAATACCTTGATTGCTTTCAATAAAACTGCATCTGAAGTAACAGTATGACAGTGACCACCTTTTACATATACTAATGATACTATGCACTTATCCACTGCTGATTGGAGCTAGTAAACAAAATTAAAGAAATTTATACATTAATTAATTAATATCAAAAAAACAAAGTTAAGTACAACAACAACCAGGGTATTTAACCATAATTTTTTCGTTTGCGGTTTAACCGTTTCCAATTAAGGTTCAGTTCCGGTTTGATACCCTGATAACAACATTGATGATGAAAAGTTAAAAAGACCAATAATTGTAATATTTATTTACTACTTGAGCTATACTATATATTTGTAGGCCATCACTATTTGAAGGAAATTCTTTATTAATTTATTATATGCCATGCACAAATCACTTTTGTACAGTCTGAAACAGCTGGCTTTTAAACTTTTTTCCCAAATATTAAACAACTCAATTCAGAGCAATCAATTTAATTGTTAGCTAAATAAAGGCTAATTTTATTCAAAAGTTACGAGCCCAGAGTCACTAAAAAATGAAAAGTTGTAAATTTATATATATATATATATATATATATATATATGATTAAAAAAACTTTTATTTTATGAATCATCAAAAAAATAAAAACTGTAAGATATTTTAGGAGACGACTGCAAGTACCAAAATTATAGTTTTTTTTTATCAAATTTAATCTATTTTGTCTTCTAACGAAACAAACTCATCACTAAATTTCAACATTTTATTTCACTTTCATCTATTTTTTATCTCTTATTCCCAACACTCACCTTAGAAGAAATGTCAAAAGAAGAAAGCAAATAAACATAAAGTACTGACTGGTGTTTAAATTATTTTGAACTTTTTTAAAACAATTAACATTCAATTGAAAGTGACATCCTAATTTCTAAATCTGATGAGACATCATCATAATCTCTAACTAAATCGGATGACATATTTGTATATATATGTTCATTGAAATAAACTTTTACCTTTAATTTATTATTTTTTAGAACACTTTTCAAATATTAAACTTGAATGAAATATAAATATTAATAATACAATGTCAATATTTAATATAACAAAAAAAATTATTACAAAATCTAATATTAAAATTAGTCATAAAGTATAAAATAAACAAAAGCAAAAAATTCCCAAGTCATTTGATCATTTTTTCTACTTTTCCTTCACTTACTTATTTTTACGTTCAGAAACGGCGGCCGGGTCTATAGTTACAATGTATTATTTAAGCAACTTTTTAAATAACAAACGAATTACATTTAAAATTGAATAAAATAAACAAAAAACACACTAAAATTACCTTGACAAAGCAAAATTTAATTTTAATAGAACAAGACCAGCGGAATAAACAAAGCGAATAAAAAGCAGGAGGCCTGCCAAACTAACAAAGCACTGCATTCATCATTCACACGCACACAGCTGAAGCTTTAAATAGAAAAAATGAAGACGCAGTAGTAAAATAAAATTACCCGTTCCCTCAAAGATTCAAGAGAAATATCCCGTCGGACACGATACAACATCAGTTTTGGCCTGTATACGCGGACATCATGCAAGGGATGAGTAGGGGCGGTGAAGAACACGACGCTAACGTCCATTAACCGATCTTCCATCTTTACTGCTTTTCTCACGCACAAAGACAAACATACAGATTCCACACAATATACTCTCTATATAAAGCGCCATCTTGTGCGTGCGTGCGTGTGTGCGCAATTAAAAAAAGACACTAAATGGGGGAAGACTCTGCTCTTCATTTGTCCTTAAGTCATGAATATATTAATATCACACACACACACACACACACACACACACACACACATATATATATATATATATATAATACTATATACTTAGAACATGGATGCATATATGTATATATATATATATTATATCCATGCTTATAATGCTTAGACTGCAGACTGCATACTTCTTCCTTTGAGGACATGACGACCATCGACCTCCACAAAACCCGATCTTTAACACTTTCTAATTATATGGTTGAAATGTGGTGATATTCAACAAGTGACACAAGGACTTCACGAATGTAATTCGTTGTTGACCGCGATCTCTTCTCCCTGCAATCTTTCCTGTAGTTGTTGGATTTTCCATTCTTTTCTTCGCATGATGAGACCAAAAAACTTCAACTGCCTCCGTCGGATTATTTTTAGTAATTGTAATAACGATTACATACATATTGAATAAAATTTTTTATTATTATTCTTTAAAAATCAGGATCCGACAGACGCAGAAACTGTAGAAAAATGAATATAATTTTTTTATATCTGTATGGTCAAAATATAGTTTTTTTTTAATTTTTTTTAGTATGGCAACATAGCAAAAATTCATGTTGTTAAGTAAAGAACAAGTCCAGAATTTTGTCAAAATGATCAAATTGCACACAGGAATTGAACTATAATAACTGGCCTTAATGTCAGCTTTACTGAAAATGTTTGCGTCATATTACAGCTGCAGATGCACAAATGTAGATTGTTTATTTTTTAGATATGTTTGTGTCAGTTGTTTTAATGTTTCCTGCACCAATGAAATAATAATAGTTGTGTGGCGTCATAGCTGTTCTTAAGTAAAATTCATAACGAAAAAAATACGATAGGGCAACATCAAGGCATGGCTACTTCGATTTTTTTAAATGTATAATCAAAATCGAAATTTATATTCGGGGCTCAGTCATTTTTTTTAATAAGATAGCCCCGAGGTTACCATCCCCTCCTCGGACAACACTGGTAATTACTATGACATGACCTACAGGTTAAATTATCGATATTGTAATTTTAGACAAATTTTTCAGCATTTATGTCCAGTGAATCTTTTCAGTTCTTATGTAACCTATAACTTAATGTCAATAGCTTTAAAACGGTCCGCTTCGGTTAATCAAGGTGACGAAAAAAATGTGAAAGAATTGCATCACTGTATTGACGTTGTTGTAAGTTACGTGACAGGGGTTTTTAATTGGAGGTAAGAAGGAGCGAAAGACATGATCGGAACCTTCTTGACACATTTTTAGGATACTGTCTATTGGAATATGGAAATAAAACAGCTGTTAAAGTGATTTATCAATCTATTAGAAAAATCAGAGATAGGTTTAAAAAAGCGATGAATAATTAATACGATAGAGAAGATGTGTCCAAGTCATCCACCCAGCCCTATCTATCCATCCGTCTATCAATCCAGTCAGCTAGCTATCTCATGGATATAATATTATATTCATATATTTTTGAGCTATCTATCTGAGAAGAAAAACATATACAGGCATCGTTATTTTAACCATATATACATACAGCCTTCAAATATACACAAATTCATGTACATGTGTATAGATGTATATGTATGTTATATATATATATATATATATATAATATATATAATATATATACAACCTATATAAAAGGTTGACGGATTTGAAACTGCTTCGATGCTTGTGGTTGCACGCGCGCATAGAAAGGTGATAAAAGATGTCAAAATATTTGACGAGTTCAGCGATGGAGAGGTTGAAGAACATCGTCAGCTCTCCCGCCAACAAATTGAAGAATTTAAATTTCCGCGGAGGCAACAGCAGCAGCAAAACGGAATTTATAAAATTTGATGACTTCAGGCGGGATGTAAATCGGCCAACCGCGACGACTACCATATTTGAACAACAACAACAACCGCAACAGCAGCCGCTACAACCCCCACAAAAACAACTACCACCACAAAAACAACTAACACAACAAACATTTAACACGAAGGACCAGAAAGAATCAGACGACCAGCAACAGCAACATTGGTACAATTTCGACGAATTGAATCTGAAATCGGGTGTCGTTGGTGAGGACGACGACGACGATAGGATATTCCTGAGTGACAGCAGTATATCGGCAGCACAAGCCGCCCTCAATGTCACCAATGCCATTCAAGTTCGTTTAAAAAAATATGACTCTTTAATTTGTCACCGCAATTATTTAAATTTAGTTAGTATTTATATTTTTATTATTTCAAAATAGCCAATCTGCAAACTAATGCTGTTTATAAATCATTAATGGCCAATTAATGTATGTTACAATAACGCAAGTTTCAAACTCAATTGCGGTCTATCGGGCTTTAATAATTCGCATTCCTACACGTCTGCCTGACTTTGTTTGTCCAATGGGGAAAAATTGTTGAAACATTGTAATTTAAAAGTATGTTATGTCATATAACACCACTGAAAATGTGGCAGTTGTTTAATTAGTCAATCAGACTTTTTACCGCACGAGCCATTACTAAACTCTAAAAAATTAAATTGACACAAACACGTACGTACAATTGAACCGAAGGAAGCATCATACAATGTTAAAACGTTCAAGAAAGGAGGATATGAGAAGTTGGTACCATCTTTATATTCAATAACTTCATGGCCAGTAGTAAATTGATAACGGCTTCTTCAAACGCACGTGTCGCCAAATGATCTATTGCTGTCTTTGTTCAAGCCATACACTGGGAGTAAGTGTGTTTGTGTGTGTGTTTGTATGCGTGTGTGTGTTTGTATGTGTGAGTGTACTTTAGTGGCTGTGAGAAAGCTCAAACGCACATGTTGCATAGTTCACATTTAAAAAATACAAAAATACATCATTTAGGATGCGAGTGTCGCTCGAACACATAGGATACTTCCTTTGGATTTTTGTAAGATACATCAAACGAATAATTAATTGCTTTTTTAGTTTTTAACGAGAATTAAATTTCCTCATCTTTGTATAACGCGATAAGCGAAAAATAACTGAGGCGTAAATTTCGAAATGGCAATATTGCAATGCAGAAACAATTTTAGACTCGTTTTAAAATATGACTGACCCGGAGAGATGCAACGTTAAGATAAAATCTGTACCTACTGATTTTGCATTTTATTTAAAATTCTCAATCTTTAATAGCAATATGTAAATTCATTTTTTAAAATATTTGCCCAAAGCTAGAGTGTATTCTAGTTCTAGTTGAAGCTGTAACTCATTTCTCATGACATTTTTATGATGAAAATTGCATGGGGACGATGGTGGTAACACACTTTTTCCTTTTATAACGTGTTTTTTTGCAAAAATCATCATCAGTAGCATCATCTTCATAATCATCATCACCAGCATCATCATCCTCATCTCAGGGTATGTGTCTGGTCTCCCTACCATACACGATACTGCAGGGAGGTTACATCGCCTTGCTGTCCATGGTCGTCATCCCGTGCATCTGCTACTACACCGGCGACATCCTCATCGAGTGTCTCTACGAGGAAGTCGAGCAACACCAATATTACCACTACCACCAACCGCAACAGTCACAGCTGCAACAAAAACATCACACGGTCAAGATCAGAAAGCGAATTCGAAACACGTACGCAGATATCGCTGGAGCAGTGTGGGGCCACAACGTCGGTCGGTGGATCGTGTACACTGCCCAGATGATCGAATTGATAATGACGTGTATACTCTACGTCCTACTATGCGGGGAATTGTTACAAAGCATGCTACCGCAACTTGGAATATCGCTAACCAAGTGGATAATCATCGCGACGGCACCTCTGTTGATGTGTGCTTTTTTGAAAAGCATGAAACACGTGGCCTGGTTAAGCTTCTGGAATTTTCTCAGCCACGTGATCATAAACGGGATCGTGCTAATATACTGTTTGACGCAAGTACAGCACTGGAAGTTTGACGTCGTGCAGCTTGAAGTGGACATCAACACGCTGCCGATGTCGTTGGGGATCGTTATGTTCAGCTACACATCGCAGATGTTTCTACCATCTCTGGAGGGCAGCATGAAGGACCGCAAGAAGTTCAGGCCGATGATGGCCTGGTCGCATTTTGTGGCCGCTGTCTTCAAATCATTATTTGCTTACTTCGGTTTCGTTACGTTTGGAGACGAGACGCAAGAAGTCATAACGAACAACATCAGCAGTTACGCGCTGAAAATCACTATCAACATCCTACTTGTCATCAAAGCACTTTCCTCTTACCCCTTGCCCTATTATGCAGCAGTTGAACTGTTACAGAACGCTTTGTTCGTCGGTCAGCCAATCACACTGCTTCCGTCGTGTTATTACAGTGACGGATTGATCAATGGACTGAGATGTTGGGCCTGGTTGTTGCGCGCAGTGTTCGTCTGCTTGATTTCCTGGCTGGCCATCTCAATACCTCACTACGCCATCCTCATCGCCCTCATTGGGTCATTCACCGCCAACATGCTCTCATTCGTCTGGCCAGCCTACTTCCACCTGGTGATTAAAAACCAATTGTTGCCATGGTATCGTAAGGTTTTCGACGTCATCATCATTATCTTAGGCTGCGTTTTTATTGTTCTGGGAGTATACTACAACAGCAGGGCGCTGTATTTCGCCTACCAAGGTATCGAGACTAAACCTTTTCAAACCATTGTTTAGCGCGTCACTTCATGGATTTTAGATACTTTGCTCTATCAATTGATTTTTACAGTAATAAGGTAGCAAGATTCTGTTATAGCATTAAAGGTTTTTTTGTAATATATTCATGCATATATACAATGTATTCATACACTACACGTGCATAATACACGTGTATGTATATATATACACATGTATGTACATACGAACACAATCAATCCCACACAAACATATATATATATATATATATATAATATATATATAATATATATACGATAGGCACATTAAAAAAAGTAATATGGTAGATTGCACCTAAACAATGGTTAACTAGTGAACATAGAATTAATTATTTTTGTATTCCAAAGTTCTAAATACGTGAAATGTTCTTATGTAGTTGAAAACTAGTCAAAATCATTGTTAGATTTAGTTATCATTTTTAGAATGTTATCAAATATGGTGGAAAATTTCTTGCTCATGTACGAACGTGTCCCTCGTTGTCTTTCTTCATTCAAAGTATTCGATTATAATAAAATTCATCTCATTTATTTTTTTCCTTTTCCTCACCGCCTTTACCATCTGCCTCCTCCTCACTCCACTAATCGTCATCACCGCCACCACCATCGCTACAACGAACTTCAATTAAACGACGACAGACAGCAGACAGATTCCCACGCTCTCCATATGCTAACAAACTTTTAGGCGCAAGCAATAAGCCCAAACACATACACATAAACAAAGGCACGCACACGCACACACAAATAAGCACACACGCACACAAACAAAGGCACGCACACGCACACACAAATAAGCACACACGCACACAAACAAAGGCACGCACACACAAATAAGCACACACGCACATAGGCATTAACACATAAATTATTTGTACAAACGCATACACCAAATGTGCCCACGTTCAAAATTTACGCAGATTTTTTTTGCATAAAAAATCAACGACCATTCATCAAATTTTCGATAGATACCTCTACCGTGTTTCCTCGAATATAAGACAGGGTCTTATATTAATTTTTTCCCAAAAATTGCCCTAGGTCTTATATTCGAGGGAGGGCTTATATTATTATGCCAATTTTTTCGACATCATTTATTTTTCCCAAATACAATACTATTTTATTCAAATACAATAAGATCATCATCTTCTGGGATATCATCATTTTCTTCCAGATCAAGACCTTGAATTCCAGCCAAGATTTCATTTGACTCCAGCTCCTTCAGTATCATAGGTCCCAATCTATCGTGTTTTGCGATGTAGCTCGCTTCAAATGGCGATGTTTTGTCCAAGTACCCTGCTTTCAGAGCCTTTGCAACACAGCTATCAGTGACTTTGCCCCATGCATTCCTTACCCAAGAGACTACCTCTTGCAGATTAGGCTTCAGGAAGTTGTTATTTTTGTTCCTTGACATCCTATTCTCAATATAATCATTGATTTCAAGTCTGAGGTAATCCTTGAAAGGCTTGTTTATTGCAATGTCCAAGGTCCGGAGGTAAGCAGTCATCCCTGCTGGGATCATAACCTGATCAACCCTTCTTTCTGCCAAGAAGTTTTTCATATCCTTTGCACGATGAGTGCTTGCAGAGTCCCAAATGAGGAGACCTCGTTGACTTCCTCTTAAAACAAGTGGCAGCATAAGGTCCACCCATTTTCTTATTACAATCTGCGTACTCCATGCCTTTTCTGATTCCAAGACATAAACTCCTCCCTGGCATTCAATCTTTTCTTTCTTCCCTTTGGTAATAAGAAGTGGAGCAGCTTTCTTCCCATCCAGACGAATTGCCAAAATGCAGGTGACGCGTGCACTTTCATATCCAGTTGATGGTACATAAATTGATGAAGCTCCTCTGAAGTCGACTGTCTTTTGAGTGTCCTGACCCATGTAAACAGCAGTCTCATCCATAGCAATCATGTTGGAAAGCTGATACTTTGAAAAATCCAAACCATCCATGAAAGACTTGAACATGAGAGCTCTCTTGACAGCTTCTTTATCCTCAAGCTTGAACAGTGTTGTTGATCTTCGTAGTGAGAGTTCATACCGCTGAAGGAAGCGATCCAGCCAACATTTTGAAGCTTTGAACTCCTCAGGAGGGATGTCAAGTGTAGGAGCCATCTCGAGAGCAAAAGCTTGAATCTCAGCTCTGCGCACTACCATACGGTTTTCTCTCTTCTCAGCAATCCAGTCAAAGATGATGTCTTCTAACTCTGGAAAGAATGGACGATTTCCAGAGCCACATTTTCTTTTTTTTGCCTGCCCATCTTCAACCTTTTGATTGAGATCATCATACTGTGCTCGCCATTTCCTAACCATTCGTACGTCCAACTTCTTCTCTTTGCAAAATGCAGTAATATTTTGATCTCTGCATTCTTCCACAATTCCTTTTTTGTATTCGACAGAGTAACTTTTCCTCTTGCCACTCATCTTAAATATGGGCAAAATGTTACAAAATAGTTTATTTAAATAGAAAAAACAACCCTTACTTTGACAGCTTTGTAACCTCAGGATATGCTTGAAGGAGGAAAAACAGTTCGAAAAACGAAAAATCCTCGAAAAACGAAAAATCTTGCAGCAGTTGACGTTTCCGGTGTGGTTTTGACAGAAGTTTTTGTTGTTGTCAGCTGATTCATACTAGAAATTATAATCGAGGGAGGGCTTATATTCGAGGGAGGGCTTATATTAGAAAAATAGACAAAAAACGTGCTAGGTCTTATATTTGAGGGATGTCTTATATATGAGGAAACACGGTACGTAGAAAGAAAGAAGATGTATGTACAAACGTTCAATCGGATAGATATTCATTGAAATTTAGATGCATATTAAACAGAATGAAAAAAACAAAAAGTTTTTTCATTTATATAATTTTTTTTATCAATGATCAAGCAACATGAACGAATAATAAAGTAACTGAAGATAATAACTGAAGTAACAAAACTTTGAAATAAAAGTTTAACGAAAGAATTTAACAATAGAATTAGAAACGAACTCAGCGTTGAAAAGCATGACGATGGCGTCAATCAAATAACAGGTCCTCAAAAATCAAATTTCGATAACCTCCCAACAAAAAATAATAATAATAATAATATCACAGCATTGAACGTAACGAACCACCACACATCAATCCACTCTTCATCTTCATCACACTTACAATCCCATATATGAGTTAAGTTATATAAATCTTTGAGCAACCACAGACAAATCAAATCAACCGACCAATAGCAGCTCACCAAGGAATGGTGGAGCCATCGAAACTTTTAAAAAAGCCCGCATCTGATTGGTTGAGAGAGGAGAGCACTTTTATGAGACCCTTGACACTGACTTCAGTTGTGATGAGGGCATTGGCTCCTCCCATATCTGTTTGCACCCAACCGGGATGGACCACACCCACCAAGATGCCAGCTGATTTCAAATCAACGCTCAGACTCTTGCTGACCATGTTCAAGGCGGCCTAGTATAGAATTAATTATTTTATCTTAATATTAAATTAAAATTTAATTAATTTAATTTAATTAAAAACTTCATTCTAAGAATCTATTGATTACTGAAAATTCGATATGCTTAACGACTTAGTTGAATATAGAAAATGATAAAACAAAAACACAAATGAACTCTTAACTAAACAAAAATTATGAATAAATGAATGAACGAATGAATGAACGGACGGTCGAACGAATGAATGAACGAACGAATGAACGAACGAACGAACGAACGAATGAATAAATAAATGACAAAAGAGTTAACCTTGCTAGCCCTGTATGAGTAGTGCCCGCCACTGGTGTTGTCTTCAATGGAGCCCATCCTGGAAGTCACATTCACTATGCAAGCCTTCGAACAACTCATCATGCCTAACAGTTAAATGATTGGATGGATGGTTAGATGGATGGATGAATGAGTGGTTAGATGGATGGTTAGCTGGATAAATAGATGGATAGATAGATAGATAAACGGATGGGTGTTCAAATGAAACAAAAGATGTCAGTTTGAGAGATACAGGAACAGATGAATCACTTGACAAATCAATTAGAGAGGCGAGTAGATGGTTTGAAACATGGGTGGATGAATGAATATATGAATGGATCAACAAATTGGATAGACGAACCGATGTAAGAATGATTGATAGATAAGGACCATGAAAAGATAGATGAATGGATTGATGAATGAAGATTAAAACACCTGTATGAAAATTATATTTAATAAACAGATTATGTGATGTCATTAGAGCACCATAAACACAAATTCAAAAAAAATTAAATTAAAAAAAATATTAAAAAAAGTAAAGATGATGATATATGAAAAAAATTAACTCAACCATTATCTCCGCCAGCAGCCGAACTTGCCTTCTTCAGCAGTGGAACAAAAGCCTGCCCCATTGTGATTGGTTCAGTGAATTACAATTTAAACATATTCATTAAAGATTTGATTAACTGAAAAATAAAAACTAAATTAAATAAAAAAATAAATATTTTTAAAAAAACTTGAATGAAATCTTCAATGCACTAGTTTAATGATGAGAGTTAGTGTGTAGTAATATAACCTTTTAATAAACAATGTAAAAATGATCAGATAAAGAATTATTTTACACGAATACAAATTTAAAAAAGAACCATTTATCCTATAGATTATGACAAAATCTAGGCAAACATCAGATCATGAAAAAATCATAAATTCTTTTTTTTATAACTAATAGTAATCTATACAAATATGAAATTCAACAATATAATATTCTTTAAATTAGATAAAAAAAAATAGATTAAAAACCTGGAATATAGTATAAAAATTTAAAATAAAAATCTATAAATAAAAAAAGAGAAAAGAGTGCCCCACGCACCCTAGCCAACATGAGAGGTGCCACACAGTTAACTTCGAAAGACTGCTTCATCTTCTCCCTGCTGATTACATCAAGAGCTGATACATCAAAGATGCCTGCATTGTTGATCAACAGGTTCAAACCTCCATCCCCAACTTTCTCTTTAACCCACGAAACGACGGAGGGAAAACTTTCAAAATCAGTGACATCTGTGAAAAAAATAATTGTTTTAAAATACTGCAAAACAAAAGAATTAATATTAATATGATTGATGTTTTTAGCCTTCAATTAATTAAAATAATAAATGAAGTAAAAATTGAATAATTTTATTTTACTTATTAAGTATTTACAAATCTAAAACATTGAAAATAATTGTTATACAATAAATAAATTGTTCAACAATTATCTTGCTTAATTTAAACTTATATATCAGAAAATTAAATTATTGTTATTTAGAAAGAATGCTCACCAAGATTATGAAGATAAACTTCAGGATTCTTTTTGGCCAGATCTTTCAATTCCTACAAAAGTTATAAATTTATTTTCAGTCTATTTAACATTTCCTATAAATTATATAAAATTTTTTTAATTAATAAAATAAATAATTAAATTTTTGAGTCCAAACTTCTGAGAGGAGAAAGCTCACTAACATTGGCTTTTTCAACATCCCGACAGGTGGCAAAGATGTATTTTGGCTTGTTGGGGAGTTTTAACAACTGTTTCACAAACTCCAAACCAATTCCTCTACTGCAGCCTGTTAAGAAAATCGATTTTGCTGCTAGAGAGGCTTCCATCTTACAGAAAAAACCGACAAACAGGCAATCGGCAGACAATATCAATTGACCGGTTGAGGGAAGTTTGTAAAAGTGAACAATGTAGAAAAGTTACTCTAAGTTATTAAAATCTAGCGCAGACTTCAACATAATTTACTGTCTTGGATATAAGTCTAATATTATATCATGGATATAATATGTATATATCCATGTATTAGATGCCATATATCTTAATTATTGATATACTAATATATCTTAATTATAATTCTTTACATAACTTCAACATAAATTAGTGTTATGTATTCAATATTAGAAGACATATATCTTAAGTATTACTCTTTATATATGTAACAAATGTCTAGTAACTAGACTAGACTAGTTAGTATTAGTATTAGTAACTATTCCTAGACTCTAGTTAGACCTAAGCGTAGTAAGGATCAAAGTTGATTGTTAAATAATTTGTTGAATCCATTAAACGTTCATCTTTGTTATAAATTTTTTCTCTATAGCTTTTGTTATGGAAATGTTTCTGGATATTTCAAAGAGATCTTTATGGCAGGCATATCAAACAATCATATATCTAGAACATTTTTTTACGTCCATCTAAGCATTCAGTGCAGTGTATACCACAGTTTTACTTATCCTCACCTTATCATCATACGTCTTTTTCGTGATTATCATAATAGAAAAAAACAGCGAACAATATTATTCTACGGTAACAAAAAATTAAATTTTTGAATTTTAAATCCAAAAATTATTCACATCAGCTTTTTCGACATCGCGGTAAGATGCGAATATGAATTTCGGCTTATTGTGAAGTTTCAGCAGCTGCTTCACCAACTCCAAACCAATCCCTTTAATACTGCAACCAGTTATGAGGATGGATGATGCGTTGCAGTGAGGCAAGCTTCCATGTTATTTTTAAGAACAACCGAACAGGTAACAAGTAAAAAAACTACATACGATTATTAAAAGCAAAGTTCAAAACAATTTCCAACCGAATATGAAAATTCACACATTTCCATGTAATATATACAATAATAATGCAAAATTTAAAATCTCGTCAATCTAAAAAACACGCGTTCTATAGGACGTTTGTACTCTATAGTACATAGAGCCACGGACAACTAATTTGGCTTTGTCAATTATATAAGTACATATAAATAGAAATTTTGTATATATGCGTTGCGTATAATTGCAATTTATTCATAACATCATTTTTATTATGAATTAATTATTCATTCTGTCTGCTGCGTAATCCATTTTTTTTACCCTTTTTTACTAACTTTTCATTTCGAGTTTCTCCACCTTATTAGTGCTCTCTTTTGACCGATCTGTCGTCATCTAGCTATTTCCAATCGCGTCCAGTGTTCCACTTTTCTCAACTTGACATTTTTTTATCTACAAAATTTCTTATGAATTCGTTTCTCACGTTAAAGTTAAAGGTTAAATGGTTAAAGGTTAAAAGGCTTCTGCCTCGAGTCGATTATTTCCAACGGATTTCCGGAGTTTTTAATTTTTTAAGATGCTTTTCTTCCTCTTTATTTAAATCACATTGAAACTTGGTTTGATGCTCATTCAATTAGGAATTTTGAGCCGAAGATGAATTCTCTCGAAATTTAATTGTTGTTACCATCGAATCCGTTGATATTTAATTTTTTAGTTTCAATGAAAGATTTCAACCACAAACGCGCTTTGCAAAAAATTTTTAACCAGAAAGGCAACAAAATTTTTCACAAATTGAAGACTTCGTTTTGTAAAAATTCAAGTTTACAAATGTAATAATTGATGAATGATAATTTGTTAGTTATCTAATTTAATTAATTTGAATTGTTGAGGCCGTCTCCAGAGAGTTACACGCAGCCGAACTCACCAGCTCCGTTCCGGAAGCACGTATCACCATCGTCACACATTTCCTAGGCACGGGAAAGTATTGAATTAACAATAAATGTTAGGAAAGTATTGAATTAATACTAAATGTTAACTAAATTCTTTTCGGTTTTAAAACTAACCAACGATAATTTGTAAAAAAAATCATTAAACGAACCGAGCCACACTGACAGGACGAACAGGTGGGACATCCAGCCGCGTTCAGCTTGCTGACGTCACAACCCTTCTTGCAGGCCACCTCAGGGCAGCCCTCCGCCCTCATCACTTCAATGTTAAATTAAATTCACGTTGACATCAATTAATTAATAATTAATTATTTAATTTAATTATTAATTAATTATCAGTATCATGAGAAATAAGATTAAAAATCTTGTAAACATTGTAAACCCATGTACATGTTCGTACATATATAAATCGAACAAATAAGCGTTAATATTATTTTAACTCAACAATCAATAAATTCAATTAAGATATTAATAAATAACAAAATAAATAGAATATTACTAAACAATGAAAACAATTTAAAATATTATTAAGATAAAATTATTTCAAAATCGTAACCGACCTTGGGCAATGAACAGGGAGACAACGGCCAGGACGATGAACATCTTCATGATTCAGAAGTGTATGTATGTACGTACGTACGTGTGTATGTATGCCAGTATGTATGCGTGTGTATTTCTGGTGGCAATATTCAACGCTCTACCCTATTTATACTCGTTCCACGCCAAAAAACCTTATACACTGTATTTAAACTATAAGAACAACCATAATAATAATAATAATAATAATAATAATAATAATAATAATAATAATAATAATAATAATACTAACATAGTATTAAATAATAATAATACTAACTGTGTATTTGTTAATAATAATAATAATAAAAATAATAATAATAAATAATAATAATAACAATAATAATACGTTCGTAGTTGCGTGTTTGGGGTGTAGTAAAATTAAAAGGCAAACATAACATGGAAGTGACAGAATGTGGTTTTCGTTAAATATAATTCATCTACCAAAAATAATTAATTAATTAAATTTATAATTATATTTTTTTAAATAAAAGAAACAACAATAAAAATAATGATAAATTGGTTTTACTAGTTAATTGTATTTTTTAATAAATAATAATGTTGATGATAATAATAGTAATGATAACAATAGCAACAACAGCATCAACAACAATAATAATAAAATAAACTTTATTATTTTCAGTATCATCCTGGCGCAGATGTGTGGAAATGCAATGATGATCAATATGCTAGATTTTTTTTATTATTTACCATCCTCCATCCATCCATCCATCCATCCATCCATCCATCCATCCATCCATCCATCCATCCATCCATCCATCCATCCATCCATCCATCCATCCATCCATCCATCTATCCATTTTGTTTTTTATCAAATACGCTCAATAAACTAACAGTATTTATTTAGTAGATACACATCTGAGGGCAATTCACGATATGGTTGGTGATGATGCTGTGAAGCCAGGAGAGCCATCACTGCATTTCAGCTCCAAATTTCAAAAATGTTTTTGTCTCTCCAGTTTTCCAACTCAGGCGTTTTCATTTTATTAATTTAAATCTTTATTTTACTTTTATTTTCTGCAAATCGAATTCGATTTTATCTATATATTTTTGTTTTATAGCCATGCTTGCTCTTTTGTTCACTGCACACACACTATCTTTATCTCATCTATTTTTAATACTAAATGCACATTTAATGGTGGTACCTATATATTGATAAGTGATTTTGGTCTAACATTTTGTCCTGCGAATTTTTTTTATCAGACCATGGTTGTGTTTATTTTCAGTTGGTTTGGTTTAATTTCTGTTTAATTTTGCTATGGTGATGTTAATTTTTCCATTATGTTGCTTCGATATTAATGTTTCATTTGTTTTCAAATTTACTTAACCGTGTCAATTACATCCAATTTCAATTATTTTATCATGCGATCCATGACGCAGTATTTTATTTCGGTTATTAATAATTTTAAATTTTAAACCAATGGCATGAAAGGCTTTTCATTGACAAATATTTATTCAAATCAAACTTACGGCCGTAATTACAATTTATAAAACAATTTCACAAAACATATATATATATATATATATATATATATATATGGTATAAGCGTAATCATTACGTGGAATATTAACAAGGAGGAATAAGACACAAATACCTTAGTTAATCACTTGAATAGTTGAATGAAAGAAGATGTAAAGGGTGAATGAATGAATGAGTGAGTGAATGAGTGAATGAATGAATGAATGGATGATAATTTGATAAAGGAACAAATTAATAGTAGTCAATCAATAAATACATGAATGAATGAATGGATAGATGAATGAATGAATGGATAGATGAATGAATGAATGGATAGATGAATGAATGAATGGACAGACGAATTGAATGGGCAAATGATTGGACGAAAGAACAAATAAAAATCAAAGAAATGAGCAACATGAAAGTAAGTAGGAAAATAAATACCAAACATTAATTATGCTACAAATCACAAATCCATTTCATGAATACTAGCGCCGTATGTAGAGCAGAATAGGTTGTAGTGAATTTGCGTCATGTGCATCTTTAAAAAAAAAAAAAAAAACCATAGCCCGAACGAACGAACGGGGAATATCAAACTAATTTCGATTAATACAAAAATGTACAAAAGAAACAATTTATACAATAATTAATATATATATATACACACACATATAATATATAATTACATATAATAAATTCGTATAAAAATAATTCAAGTTCTGTAAAATGTGATTAAATATTTGTATATAATTGTAAAAAAATGGCGACATTCAATTTTGAAATCGAGTAAAACAAAGAAAAAAAATAATTAAAAAGTTAATTTAAACATTAACTAGTTAATTAATATGAAATTGTATTTAGTTAATTGGACGGTATGACAACCATGTGTGACAGTTGAAATCGCTCAAGCTCTTTTTTGAAATATTATAAGTGATAGAAATTTTTTTTTAGTCTGTTCATCCAACACTACTCATTATTTTTACTATAACGTTCACAACAAACATGTTCACTACAAACATGTGTTCACAACAAACACGTGTTCACAACAAACATGTTCACTACTCACAACAAACATGTTTAGAATGAACACGCTCACAGTAAAAATTGTTCACAATTTTCAATATATAAAATGATTTTTAACAACAAAATAATTTTTCATTTACAAATATCATAATTTATATATATACATATTATTAATATATCAAATAAATAATTTAATACTAATTCCAATTTACTCTTTAAACAAACAAACAGACAGACAAACAAACGTTTAAACATAGGAAAGTAACAAAAAAGTAATAAACCGTAAATAATGGTAGAGACAGATGATAACATGAGATGAAATGACGAATCAAGATGATGATATGTATGTAACGTGATTCCATTGTGTGTGATACATTGCATTCGTTGATGGGTAAAAAAGGTTTTTTTACCCATCAACGGGCTTGAATTGTTGATGTTCGATTACTTTCCATAAGTGTGGGCCAAGCTGACACACACACACACACACACACACACACACACACACACACACACACACACACACACACACACACATACATACACACACACACACGTACGTGCAAACATTTATACAAAAATACACATATACGTCAACGCGCAGACACTTAAATATACAAAAAAGCATACAAACACACACTACATACGCATACACACAAACACACACACATACATAAATACATACACGTACACAAACAAACACACACCTACACTGATGATATTTCACTTGAAGCTATTTAATCACACTATCCTCTAGTCAAAGGTAGGAGGCATTTGAAATAGAAAAAAAAATAAGCAAATTCACGATACTTATGAGACGAACCTACAGAGCAAAAGCATAATCACATACACATACACATACTACATTGTATTGTATAAATTAAATTCATTTCAGATAAAATCAATGCTAATTAATTGGATGATTAATTAATCTATCATCTAATTAGTTAATTGATTGGTTAACGTATTCATCGATTGAAAGCAGAACGCAAAAATTAATAAAACCTAAATAAATCAATCAATCAATCAACTAATTTAAGAAATAAGTTCATGTATTATATATATGTATATATTTACAAATATACTCTATATATTTTACCAGTAAAAGACCATAATTAAAGCAGTAATTTATGAAATTTGCGGAATTTCTAGCGTTAGCTTTTGTTACATTTCTCAATATATCTAACCAAATTCTCGTCGTCATTATTTATTTAATTACAGTTAGAATAGTATACAGTTCTCCAATTCATTCTCAAGTGCATAGGACCTATTTCGATTTTTCAATAGTCTTCAGCCCTTGTTGCAGTTCACGCCGGGAGTTTTGTATAACGCAGGCCTTTGGTTAGAAATATTGAGAAATGTAATAAAAAACTATCCAACGCTAACAATTCGGTAGATTTTATAAAGTACACACACTCACACACACACACTCACACACACACACTCACACAAACACACACTCACACACACACACGCACAAACACACACACATATATATATCAAAAATTTTGAGGTATAGTAAATAATATTGATCCTAAGACGCCTTGTTACAAGAAGTCGAATAAATTTTTAGCTCTCAAAAATTTTTAACTCTCAAAAATTTTTATGATTGATTCACTTATCTACGTAATATAATAATATGAAATAATAATAATAATAATAATAATAATAGTAGTAGTAATAGTAATAATAATAATAAAAATAATAATAATAGTTAGCGTTCGGGGGGGGGCGCTCTTATAATGTAATAAAGCTCTCCTGTTGGATGATAAGTGTTTATGTTAAAATGGTTTTATATTTTCTGCAATATTAAGTTTATATTTATTTATTATATTTATTTATTTTTATTATTTATCTATTTATTTATCAATTTGCCTATCTATTTATCTATAAATTTGTTTATATCCAATTTAATTCATTTATAAACTTTAAAAATGTTATACAATTTCTAAAATATTTTTTCCAATTTCTTCATCAATTAGCATTTAATTCATTAAAAGTATTATACAAAAATTTTATTAAACGTTAAAATGAACGACAGACTACAAAAATCTCTCCCCTCCAAAAGCCGAAACAGTGTTCCTCATTTTGATAACTTGGCGGTAAAAACTCTGGAGTTTGACTGCGATTGGGCATTTGGGGTCTTCTTCAAAGTAGCAAATATCGTCTGCGCGGCAGTTGACGACTCGTCTGCAGTCGGTGTCGTTGCAGTCGGAGATTTAACTGCGGATGTGGTCGGTTTCGACGTTGTGGATTGCTGAGTAGTAGTGGCAGTTTGAAACGCAGTCGTCAGGGGTGTGGTTGGCTTTTTGAGTGTTGACGGTTGGAGTGTGGGTGAGCCTGGTAATGAGAATTTTTTGGCGTCGAAGTTGTTGCTGTTGACGATTTTGTGGTTGTTGTTTGAAGTTTTGTTGTTGTTGTTAATGTTAACGTTGTTCGTGACAATCTTGCTGCTGTTGTTTACGTTATTGTTTGCCAAATTATTATTATTATTATTGTTATTGTTGTTGTTGTTGTAATGCACGTTGACATCACCGTTCATCTTAATGTTCAGTTTTAAATTATTTGGCATCGGGTTCTTTGCTACTGGTCCATTAACATTATTCAACAATATTTTGTTGTTACTATTGCTGTTAGTGCTATTGCTGTTGTTGTTGATGAAATTAACTCTTCCAGCAGTTGACGATGGCATAGTTGTTGTTGTTGTTGAAGTTGCTGCTAAAATATTTGTTGTCGTTGTCGTCGGTGTTGGTGGGTTTATCTTCAAGCCACCAGTTTTGCTGTTGTCGTTGTTTTTGGTGACGCCATCATTCAAAGGTTTCCAGGGTTGTATCTTGAATTGCTTGTTGACGTTAATCGACTGAATGGCTGAAGTTGAATAAATTTTATTGTTGCTGACATTGTTGCTGCTGTTGTTGACATTGTTGTTGTTGTTGCTGACATTGTTGTTGTTGTTGCTGACAGTGTTGTTGTTGTTGATGGAAGTGTAGGACTTATTGTTGGGCGGTTGTTGTTGTTGTGGTGGAGTTTCTTTTTTCAACGTTGTACCAGCGTAACTGTAAGTCTTGGAATTAGGTGCAGTGGATGAAGAAGGAGAGAAAGAAGAAGGAAGCGACGATGTTGCTGGCTTCGTGTGCGAGGTCGTCGTCGTCTGTTCGCTGCTGTTGTGTGCTTGAAATATTTTATTTTCATGAAAGGATATCTTGCTTATATTATTATTATTGTTATTGTTATTATTATTATTATTATTATTATTATTATTATTATTATTATTATTATTATTATTATTATTATTATTATTATGTGCGTTGACGCTGGCAGGGAGGGTGACATTAAGTTTATTATGATTCTTATTATTGCCCGCTGCTGTACTGCTGCTATTAAGGTAAGTGCTGTTAGCTGATTTGTTGAGGTTGTTGTTGTTGCTGATGACACTTTTGTTGATGGTGCTGATGTTGCTATTATTGTTGCTAAATTTGTTGTTGTTGTTGCTGCTGGAGCTAGCAGCATATCGTCTGGTTGTGCCAGTGTTGCTGCTTTCAATCAACTTGCTGACATCAACATTCTTCAGCATGGCTTTCTCGGCAATGATAGAAGCCAAGTTGCCCATGGATATTGGAGGTGACGATGGAGTAGAAGAGTTCTGTGCGAGGGGTGTTAGGGTCTCCGCAATTGGGGGCGTCGACGCGGTTGATTGCTTACTCAATTTTACCCTGTTGTTATTGTCAGGTTCGCTACTGCCATTGTTGCTGTTGTTGTTGCTGTTGTTGTTGTGTTTAGCATTATAAGCGCCGAAGTCGGTTGTTGTGCAGTTTTCAGTAGCGTTATCAAGAGTGATGTAGTTGTTGTTGTTAGTGGAGTTTTTAGCAACAAAAACAATGCTACCAACATCAACCGCGCCGTCGGCTGATATGTTCGTGTCGTCCGTGCTACACTCATTCTTCAACGTGGCACATGTTGCCGATGTTGTTGTTGATGTTGCTTCGGAATGTTGTGGTTTTTGATCATTTTCTTTCAGATAGTTTGTATTGTTGTCAATCGTTGGTTTGTTGTTGGCGTTATTGGCACTGAAATCTGCATCTGAGTTAGTTGCTGGACCGACTGCACTTTCATCTTTTGAGGTGTTGTCGGTCGTTTTCTTCTTCATGAGGAAGTGCAATCTCAACTTCTCGGCATCGGCCAGGAAGCCCTCGCCACCGCCTGCCTCGCTCTCAGTGGCCGATTGTCTGGTGAGTGACCATGCCGATGAGGACTTGGGCAGCGTTTTTGAATAATTATCACCATCCTGATTACCCTCATCAAAAAGGGATGCCATCTTGGCGTCCACTGAATTTCTGTTTTTGTTCGGTGGGGGAGGAGCCCGCTTCTTGGGACTGAATGACTTTGGGAGGGTTTTGGCATCAGGGCCGAGCAGACCAGCTGACGTTTGATGTTTGTCATTCAGGACTGGAGAATTGTAAGCTGTCACTGCTTGCTTCTTCTTCACGAACAAACTGCCAACTGTCGGCTCAGCGGCACTCTTCTTGTTGTTGTTGTTTATAACATTTCCATGATTGACATTTAGTTTCCTTGATTTGTTCACTTGTTTTTCAATATCCTTAGAAAGAGCATCATCACCGACCTCCTCCACCTTCTGCCTCCTCTTCCTCACGGCGTCCATCAGAGCTTCGTGGGTTGCGTTCGAGAGTGCTGCAAGTGGAGAATGGAATGGTTTCGGCAGACTGGATTTGGTGACACTGCCGCTTTCGATACTGTCGTTGTCGTTGGTGGTTGCATCAGTTTTCCTTTTCAGCGTACCCTTGCCGAGAGTTCCTATTGGCGGAAGAGGTGGTGGGACTGGAATGGTGGCATTTAATTGGCTGATGGTCAGTGGAGATTGTGACGATGTTGTTGGTGTTTCTGCAAGGAGGTTTCCACGCACGGTGGCGACTTCATTGTGGTGAGGATTGCTGTTGTGGCTGTTCACTGTCAACGCCGTTGCAGCGGCAAGCATTGTTGTTTGTTGCTGTTGCTGTTGTTGCTGAAGTAGTTGTTGGTCGTTGGATGAATGTCGTTTGCTTAATATTTTGTCAAAGGCATCTGATGTTGTAATAACAAACGTTTGATGGCATTAGCGTCAGAATTCATTGCAATGGAAATGTTTTGAAGTGTCTCTACAAATGCACGTGTAATCATTTCATTAGGAAATCATTAAAAAATCAACTAATTGCACGACAAAATGTTAATTAAAACTTCAGAGCTCTAATAATAATACACTGTAAACAACAATGATGATGAAAAAAGCCTGATAAGGTGACTAAAAAGAATAAGAGAAAGAGATAACGATAACACTTGAAATGTATGCTGCCTGCAAACCAGTGGGCGAGTAGAGAGAAGTGAGTGAATTAATTAATTATCAATTCAATAAAACCAACCAATTGTGTTGTTGAATTCGATGGAGTTAATGTCATTGCCGTCGTTGCGATTAGCTATAACGCAGTTCACTTTTAGGCTGCATTTGCTGGTTTCATCCGAGCTGATGGAACCTTTCAAAAAGAAAACAAACCGACTCAGATATAATTGAAATGAACATACATCATTGTAAAACAAAAAACATTCTGCTACAATGACGTCATCATCATTGTTGCCATCATCGTCATCATCGACGTCGTCTTCAACCTCATGATTGCCTACGTCATCCTCTAAATCGTCGTCGTCGCTGCCACAAGCGCTACAAACATACGGAAGCATAAAATGTATGACAAGTAGCACACGAAGAACCGGTTGAACAAACCATGAGGTGTGTTTTCCTTCAACCTCAACACCTTGATCCTCAGGACATTCCCTGACATCCTGATCAACTGCACGCATTCCTGGTGGGAGCACGAGCTTACTGGCGTGCCGTTAATCTGTTGAAATATTCATCATATCCGTCGTCATCTTGGTCGCCATCATCACTTGCATCAACATTAAAATCGTCATAACATCACATCTACTATCACCATCACCATTATGACCACTATCACCACCATCGCCATCATCATCACTAAAAAAATGCAAGCAGACCTCAGTGATGAAATCATTGGCCTTGACCCCGTGCGTGCTGGCCAGCTTGCCCTCCTCCACCTCGCCGATGTACTGGCGGGCAGGGGCAACCTTCGACGGTTCAAATGCTGATTGGCCAGTTGCTGTGGTGAGTTGGGTGGTTCGTTCGTTGAGTGGTTGTTTGGTTGATTGTGTTGGTTGTTAAAAAAAAAATTAAAAAAAAATATAAAGATCGCTATGCCTTAGATCACGGTATATAACACACGATTTCACGTTCCATATTACTATTCTATTATTATAATTATATTATTATTAATATTATTATTTGATATTATTTGATATTCATTAGCTTTCGAACCATGTCCTGACACGTAAGAACCTAACAAGTTACGGCGACTCGCCCACTGAACGATGTTTGTTTAACTTTCGAACGTCCTGTCTGATTTTGTAATCCTCAAATACAAAAACGTAATTCGCAACCAGCGCAGTTAACTTCAAATCTCACATCGTCTGCTTTTTTTAAATATATAAATTCATAAAATTTCATTTTTTTTGCGTAAAATCTTGCTACTTCACAGGTCCTTTTAATTGTTCTTGTTCAGAGTCAAAGCTTATGAATAAAAAATGAATTAATTAAAATAATAATAAATAAAGCATGTGCTATTATGTACACACACACACACACACACACACACACACACACACACACACACACACACACACACACAAACAAACACACACACGCACACACACACACACGCACACATACTCATAACTAATACTACCTCAATAAATCAAACCTCACACCAATAAACAAATGATGTATTAGAGGCGTGTGTTGTACACATACAGATACAACACACGCAATCAGTACTGTATATGAGTGGCACACCTACACACACACACACACACACACACACAACACACACACAAACACACACGCACATAATATTTTATATCCATGCATACTTATTTGCTTATTTAAGTTATAGGAAATTATCAAGTATTTAGCATGTGTTAGGTTTCTTTGTACTGCAGATGTTGTAGTTTTTGATGACATTGTTGTTGTTGTCGGTAACATTTCTGTTAGCGTCTCAACTATTGCTATTTGCAATATATCTGTCCTTGACATTGATGTGATTTAAGAGAACTAACAAATTAAATGTAATGTAATATAAACTAATGTAACGCAATAACACTGACATTAATGGTATTCAAGACCAAGAGAACTAACAAATAAAACGTAATGTAATATGAACTAATGTAATGCAATAAGGATGACATTAATGCGATTCAAGACCAAGAGAATTAATAAATGAAATGTAATTTAATATACATACATTAATGTAATTTCAGATCAGTGGAGTTAATAAATTAGGTAAAACCTGAAGAAATCTGAGAAGTTATAGCTATTATTATTATTATAATTTATTAACCATTGGTAACTTGAACTGTGTGACACGATTTGAAACGTGTGTTGTACACGTGATGACTATTTGTGATGACACTGACCACGTGATGACACTGATGTTGATCAGTGATGACTATTTCACTAAGAGTATGCAAACAAATGGAGCCAGGAAAACCAGACAACCACAAAATAAAGTGCTTAACTGTTGTTTTCGGCAATTATTTCCTTAATTCGCAATATTAAAACAACTCTTATGCTGCCAAAAGACGATCAAATTGTAAATTAGATGAATAGATCAGTCATTATTTTTTACAATAATAATAAAAACAACCATAACAACAACAACAACAATAACAACGACAACAACAACAACAACAACAACAACAACAACAACAACAACAATAATAATAATAATAATGATAAGGTGATTTATATAGAGCCCAAGTAAGAGCACAGCTGCTTTAGAAGCGCCCAAAACATTAAATTTCAAAAATATCGGAATTTTTTTCATAGGTATAATAATAATAATCAAAGATGAAAGTTAGGTGACCAAATCAATCAATTTGAAAGAAATAAAAAGCTTGGTGCCCAAACAAATCAGTCGATTTGAATGATTTACTAGATTTTTTTATTAATTCACGTTTCCCATAAAAGATATAAAGGTTTACAATTTTTGAGCAGTTGTGCATAAACACCTACAAACACACACACACGCGCGCACACAACACACGCACACACACACACAACACACACAACATACACATACGTACGATCTGTACACGTACAATGCATATGTATACAAAAGTATATTATATAAAAAACAACTAACGTAAAAGGGTTCTCACTGTGAACCCATACTCCAAGGAGCCAGCCTTGTGGAGGTTGAAGCAGAATTCATCGTACAAATCCTTACTGCAAGTGATATATATCATCATCATTGCCCTCGTGTATCATCACCGTTATCATCATAAGTGTTTTCATATATCATCCCAATTATTATTTTTATTTATCAAAATTATCTTTATATATCACCATATTTATCTATATATATCACCATAATTATCTTTAAACATCACCATAATTATCTTTATATATCATTATAATTATCTTTGTACACTATCGTCATAATTATCATCATCATCAATTTTTAATCATCGCCACCATTATTTTCATCTTAAATAATTTTTTAAATCACTAGTTTTTCATATAGATATATTTTCATCATTTTATCATCATTACCATCATTATCATCATCACCATCACCCTTATCATCATTATTATCATCACCATCATCACCACCACCATCATTATCATCATCATCATCTCTACTATGAATTGAAAATGCCAGCGTGTTGGGCTACTCACATTTCTGAGTTTAAATCCTTCCCTGAGTTTCCATCTATGAAGTTTGTTGGAAAATATTTTTATTTTAATAATTTTTGGCAAAATAATGTTGAATTTGAAAGAAGTTATAATGTAACAAAAACAACAAAAGCTATAAAACGCCATAAAAACTATCAAATTCAGCAACAATGAAATTACAACAACCCCAACAACAACTACAGCCACAACAACTCAAACAACTACAGCCACAAAAACCCAACAACAACTACAGCCACAACAACTACAACAACTACAGCCACAACAACCCAACAACTACAGCAACTACAAGCAAGATGGCGACCACAATATTTGAACGGAGACAAATCCAGACGCAAAAGAAGCATCGCGTGCAATACTGAAACATCGCGTGAAACACTCGAACAATTTGTTGGTACTGCTATTCATAACATTCCTCACATCGCTCGTCTTGCTCCAATGAAATCGTTCAGCAGTTTCGCCCCAGTTGGGTTTTATTCTTTCTTACTTCTAAAGAACAACGAGGCGTAATGATGAAGTAAAAAATTTTAAAACGGGGTAATTTTTACTGGACAAAATCTGGACACTTTGCCGTCTAATGGACGAAGGCTAATAACAGTAAGAGATCAAACGAAACAAAAGCGGGACCGTCCAGTCAAATGTACGGCCACTCACATTAACATAATTAATGCAAAAAAAAACAAGACAATATCAAACAAATAACATACTCGTCCAATCATAATTCATGGCACTCAATCTCTGAATGGACGACTGGAGCGTCTTATGACCACCGCCAGCACCGACGCCACCACCGATGACTCCAGTCCCAGCGCTGGACATAAGAACGTCAAGCGACACGCCAGACATGGTGCCATTCATGTTCGAGACTTTCGCATTGCCGAACAGCAGATGGAGGCTGGGGTTGCTACGACTGCGTTCCAAGTTTTTGATGGTCGCCGCTGAAATCGTGCCGCGTCTCTTCTCGTTGTAGGTGGGCAGTTCGTTGAAGAGGACTGCGGAGAGTGTCGGGGGCAGTGGTTGTGGCGGCGGTCAACAAATTTGTTTGGGGGATGAATGGATGGATGAGTGGATGGATGGATGGATAAGTGGATGGATGTATTAATGGATGGATGGATGAAGGGATGAATGGATGGATGAGTGGATGGATGGATGGATAAGTGGATGGATGTATTAATGGATGGATGGATGAAGGGATGAATGGATGGATGAGTGGATGGATGGATGGATAAGTGGATGGATGTATTAATGGATGGATGGATGAAGGGATGAATGGATGGATGAGTGGATGAATGCACAATTAAAATTATTTCATCAACTGATAAAATGACGTCACAAGCAAATGAGCGAACGAGAAAGCGAGTGAACGATCGAACGATGAACGGACAAAAGAACGAATGATTAGAAATTTGAGTTGATGGAGGAAAATAAATGAATGATGAAGCTAAACAAACAGCCAACCATCGATGAATAAATTTTTTCAATGATTTTCACGAGTCATTTCAACCTAATTATATTCCAAACAAAAAATAAGCAGCATTTTATTCTACAGCTAGCTATTATATTTGGCGATGGTAGCTCATTAATATAGATTATATACTAATGTGGAAAATTTTCTAACTTTTTAACCGACCACATGATCAACCAAACAACCAACCAGACAGACAGCCAACCAACCAACTAGCCAACCAGCCATACAAATCCCCAATTCAACCAGCCAGCCAATCAGCAAACCCCACTGACCAACATCCGAAGATTTGAAATCACTGATTAGTGACGTCATTTTGTTGTTGTTCCTCAACTGTGCGATGTCCACTGCTGTCCAGTTGTTCTTGTTTTTGATTTCCTTGTCCGCGCCCCTCAGCAACAACCTTCTGCAACAATCTTCCTGTAGTAATAGTATTAGTAGTGGTAGTAGTAGTAGTAACGGTAGTAGAAGTAGTGGTAGTAGTAGCAGCAGCAGTAATGGTAGTAATAGTAATAGTGGTAATGATGGTAGTAATGGTAGCAGTAGTAGCAGCAATAGTGGTACAGGTGGTTGTGGTAGACATTATTTGGATGGATGAATGAATGAATGAATGAATGAATGAATGAATGAATGAATGAATGAATGAATAAATGTTGACGCTGTTTTGTAGATGTTGTAGACTGGTAGATGTTGTGTATGTCTTCAACATGTTGTAGCCTATGTTAAGGCTTGCGCGGCGGTGTTGACTGAATTTGAAATAAATGAAACCATCAAAAAAGTTGTCATTTTTGAAGTTTTCGCTTGAAAGCAATTTTAGTAAAAAAAATTGTTAGAGACATTTTTCGTAGCGTCCTACAGCTAGTTTTACAACTAAGTAGTTTCCATAGCAACAACATCAACAACAGCATCAATCTAATCAAAGTAGGAACAAGGACGATGAGTGAATGATGACGAGGAGTGAATGAGTGAGTGAATGATTGCGTTAATGAATGAGTGAAAAATATTGAGTGAATGTTGAATGAGCGAATGAGTATGTGAATGAATGAGTGAAAAATAATGAGTGAATGTTGAATAAGTGAATGATGATGATGACGAAATGAATGAGAGAATAATGATGGCAAATAATGATGATAAAGATGATGATGACAATGGATGATGACGAGGACGGTAGGTAGCTTACTCACCTGATTATACTGAGCGCAGATATGCATGGGTGTGTTTCCATCCATGTTTTGGCTATTAACGTCGGCACCATAGAATATTAATTGTTCCACGTGTTCTAATTTGTTTTCTTTGCATGCCTATGATGGATGATAATAAGAAACAATCATACGGACGAACAAACAAACAAACGGACAAACAAACGGACGAACAAACAAACTAACAAACGAACAAACGGGCAAACAAACAAACAAACAAACAAACAAACAAACGAACGAACAAACCAAAAAACAAACAAACAAACGAATCAACAAACAAACGGACGAACAAACAAACGAACGAACGAACAAACAACCCAACGGACGAACAAACGGACGAACCTGGTGTAGTTCTGTGAATCCCTGCCTATCCTTGCAGCCAATACTCGACCTTTCATGCAACAACATGGACAAGCATTGAGCATCCTTATTGGTCAGGCAGCAGTGGTATAATGGGGTCAACCAATCAGCGTCCTTGTAATTAGGACTGCTTCCTAGGTCCAGTAACGTCTGCAAAAAATAGAAATAATTTAAAAATAAATAACAAAAATAATAATTAATAATTAATTAATTAATTAATTAACTAATTAATTAATTAACGTATATATCAACTGTATATTAATATGTTTTATAAATAAGCAAATCCGCAAATGAAATAATTAAATTCAGAATAATCATAAAATAAACATATTGAAAAATTCAAATAGATGAAACTAGCCAATCAATCAATCGATCTAATCACACAACTAGATCTAACTAACCCGAAGTCCCAAAATAAATACGTAGCTACAAAAAATTAAACTAAAAAATTGTCACCCTCATGGCGTCCTTCGACTCCATTTTGGCGGCAACATGCAGTGGGGTGAGTCCCTGTTTGTTTCTAAAGTCGATGTGGGCCCCTCCACTCACTAGGGCCATGATCATTGCCCGAGGTCTAGGTAGGTAGACGGCTGTCGTCAGTGGTGTTTCTGTGTGAGTGGTTGTGTGTGGTTGTGAGTGGTTGTGTGTGGTTGTGAGTGGTTGTGTGTGGTTGTGAGTGGTTGTGTGTGGTTGTGTCGACTTGTTTGTTTACGTGTAGTTGTTGGTATGTGTTTGTGTAGGTGTTCGCTTGTTTGTTGGTTCGTTCGTTTGTTTGTTTGCGTGAATCGATATGTTTGCACTGGCTGTCTGTGAATTTTTGTAAACTTTTCTGTCGGCTGATCGGCGAGATGTAAGTCTATTCGTCTGATTAATTATTTCATCTGTCTGGTCGTGCAATTCATGGAGTAGTTATAAACGATTTGAAAAGTTGAAGAAGGCGAGCGCAATTAAAGATCAATGAATTAGTATAAAAAAATTAATAATAATTATTATTATTATTAATATTTAATTATTATTTTTATTATTAAAATTGCTTTCAGCATTGCTTGGCTCGTCTGCATTTTTTAATTCAACGTTAAAAGGAGCATGTGTCATTATATTTAGAATTCATTATTATCAGGCGGTCTGTCTGTGTCTGTCTGTGTGTATGTGTCTGTGTGTTTGTGTGAATGAATTAATAAACTGATGAATGAATGAATGAATGAATGAATGAACGAACGAACGAATGAACGAACGAACGAATGAATAGGAAAAAATAAATATTTAAATTAAAAAAAATGGAACAGAAGTCTTGCAATATCGCATAAATTAAATTCTCTTTTCCCAGAGACACATAAATGTAGATGTTAACATGGATTTTGCCTGGATAAGTGTTTCCGACGACGAACAGACGACAATGAAAACAACAATGATGATAAACAGAATGATGAACATGATGGCGAACAAGATAACGAACAAGATGATAAACAAGATGACAAACAGGATGATGAACAGGGTGATGAACATGATGACGAATTGCGATCAACTTAATAACTATGGCGATAATATATGATGATGAAATGATAATAATTATTAATCTTGGTGAAAATTATAGCAATCAAATGGGGTAAAACGCCATAACGATGACAGTTATACAAATTTCAAAATTCACACAGACAAATCAATAAAAAATATACCAAAGACGAAATAATTGTCTAAATATTAGTATAAAATATTAATATCAATACTATTCCTAATGAAAATTTAATGACGAAACGCCGGCGATAATGTGCTCACCATTTTGCTATTTAATTTACGTATTCAACTTCAATACAAATAAATATGCCGGTACTTCGCTGTACACTTGCATACCACGAATATTCACACACACACACACACACACACACACACACACACACACACACACAAACAAACAACCACACACACGTACACACACATCTATCGTCAGTTACTCGATAAAAATGTTAACTTTATTTTTGTAATATACAAACAAACAAGCATCAAACAAAGCATAATAAATGCATGAACGTTTGAAAGAAGGAATGAAAAAAACAACAAACGATTGAATGAATGAATGAATGAATGAATGAATGAGTGAATGAATAAATAAATGAATGAATGAATGAATGAGTGAATGAATGAATAAATGAATGAGTGAATGAATGAATGAATGAATGAATGAACGAATGAATGAATGAATGAACGAATGAATGAATAAATAAACGAGTCCATGGACAATAAACTAAATAAGTCATGCTATATAAAAGTGTCACTAGTCTGATTGTTGAGCCTAATTTAAATTCCTCACAAGTCTGCATACATTTTAACGTGCCTGACAAACATTCATTCATTCCAACATTCATTCATAGCTTATTCATCCACTTGTGCTGCGTTCTTTTAATCATTCCTTCCTCTTTTTCATTTTCATTCATTTCGTTCCTTTATTTATTCATTCATATTGGTCCTTGAGTGAGCTAACTGAACCCCCTTCTGGGAATATTTCTCAATAACAGCGTCTATCTTATCTACTACGATACTTTTATCATCACATGATAACAAAATGGAAATAATAATAACAACCATATTAATAATAATAATAATAAAAATAATAATAATAATATAATAATAATAATAATCCTCATCGTCATCATCGTAATAATAATCGTTATAATTTGTTTATATATATATATGTATATTAGCAGAGACCTAAAGAATAACGGAACTGGAAAAGGGAAGAATGAGCAGCGTACCAAAGTGCCAGCTAACCCTTTCCTAGCAGTACCAATTTACTCCTCCATGCTAACTTCACACAACCAACTAGCTGGCTAGCTAGCTGCCCAACAAACACAACAAATGTAACAAATTTATTGTTCATAATAAACGAGTTATAAAAATCACGTGATGACCACATATGAAATCACGTGCCCCCCCCCCAAACGAGCTAAG